TTAAGTTTTAGTCGCATAAATCTAAATGGAAATGCCGTCATTTCGCAATAGTTTTTTATTGATATTGATAAGATATCGCAAAAGTTTTGCACAAGTCTAATGGGAACGCAGCTTGTGATTGGTTACAATGTTGAACAAAAACATTGTAAATGGCAACGTTTGATGCAATGAAGTAAATCTAAATATAGGCCTAATGCTGTGTAAGACTTATCAAAATTAGTTAGCTGGCAAAATAATCATGATTATGGCTGCCATAATTACATAAACTCTTCAAGTGTGCCACTTGAGCTGATCTTCATATTTACTCTTAAGGTTCAAAGTCTATGCAAGAGGGGTGGGGTGACGAAGGCTCGAATGTATCGCGACACTCCAGCTGGGAGGAAGAGGACGGTGGCGCTGGTGTTTGGGGCAGTCGGGGATCTCAAAGCAACACATACAACTCTGGGGGCTGGGGGCAAGGCCAGGGGGCCAGGAGACTCAACGCTAAGGTATGTTGGGAGCTTTTTTTGACCTCACCAAGACTTTTTGACTTGGGGAAACTATCAACTCCTAAGTAACCCTTTGGTTTGTCCCTTAGAGCCCTCTTAAAGGTAACAGTGGGGACTCATGGGTGTCTCCTGTGACTCGGCAGTTCTCAAACATGAGCGTTACGGTAAGATAGTCGTTACCACTGTGCTGATCTGCTCATGTGTGTTGCTGCAGATCTGTAGAAAAATGCAGATTATATTTTTGTCAGGATGAAGACTCCAGTATGGGTCACGATAGCAGGCACGACAGGAGAGGAATGAATGATGGTGAGATGCGGAGAGGCGGCAGGACTGGGGGAGCTTTCCGCTCACAGCCTTCCAAAGAGATGCCATGCGGGGAGACCGGACCTTATCTGGACAAGGTACTGAGATGCATCCAATCCCATCTTACCTGGAGGACAACGAGAGCCACATCTTATAACAAAGATAGCATGACATATAGGCTAAATGCAGAAACCCTCTTGAGAACGATAAGCAGCTGGACTTATTGCAGTCCTGAGTGACCCTGGAGCAACCTGAGGTTATGAGATCAGATTTATCTGATACTACTCACTTTTCACGAGTAGGCCTGTCGCAATAATCAATATATCGACTTATCGTGCAATATATGTACATGACCTCAATCATTTTTGGAGACGCAATATATCGCCCATTTTATTTACTTAAAAATTTATGTTTTGTAGTTTTGTACATTCCACCTGTGCCTGTGTCTTTTGCAGCTTCTCGTACATAACGTGATGTAGTCATGAGGTAAATTTAAAAATTTAAAAAATGCTTCTACAAAAAAAGTTTCATCTGCAGATATGGCCTTGTTTAGGGATCTGTGCCTTTGTGCATACGGTCATCTGACTGCTAAGTAGTGATTGTGTTTTTCAGCAATAGTGTGCAGCCTTAATTTACAGAGAAAAGAAGGTCAGGGAAAAATTATTTGTGCATTTTTCTTTTTTTCTACTTGTTACTTTGCACTTTTTGTTAGAAAATGTTTATTTACTATTTATTCAAGTTTTT